TCCTTAAACATTATCCTCTCGTATATAACACTTATATACAATGTTTAAGGTTACATAAATAATCACAAAATTTTCATTTGATATTCATTAAATATTCATAAATATATGCACATAAAATGATGAATAAACTCTTTTATTAATTAAATAATAAATATCCTATTACATCTGATGCTTGTAGGACATCATTCCCAACAACATTTATGTTTTCTTGTTCAAAATATTTTCTATCAAAATTTTTGAAAAATATCGGGAAATGTTAGTAAATATCGGTTCATACATCAATTTTGTTAACTTTGATGTGATTTCTGTAAATTTGTAATTAATACGTATTTTTGCAATGTTATCCTATCTTAAAATATCAAAGCATTTAAAACAAATTCCTATATTTTTGTAATTATTTCTGATATTTTCCATGATAGGGATAGTTTCTACAATAAAGCTAACCAAAATTAAGAATTTTCGTTTCCTAACAAAGATAGTTAATTTACAAGGGGCACGCAACCAAACCTTAGCTGAATGTGCGCCAGCGAACTAAATTCTGTTGCTAACTCAAAGCATAAAATTAAAAGTAACGGAATCAAAATCATATGCGGACACCTCATCTTCAATTCTTCATAACGTCCATGGGAATACCATTCCCTTCAAATCTGTCTTCAACGTGTCCGTAATCTCATTCTGTGAATGACATGACTTAGAAGTTAGAATGTCAATTTTTTTTTCTTTTTTTTTTTTTTTCTTTTTCCGCATACTTATTAGTGATGCCAATTTCTACTCCTATAGTCTATACGGTAACTATTGGTTAGTTGAAAATAGTTCTATTCACACACATTTTTTTTCTTAGTGTATGTGTTAATAAAACCACTCTTTTGATAAAAAAAAAAAAATACGATATTTTAGACTACGAAGATAATGCGTATCGTTGGTTGGCTCCACGGCTATGATCAAAATGTTGCGTTCGTATAGATAATTAATCCTCTATTCCTTTTTACACCCCCAACCCAAAAAAATAAAAAAAAAACTCTTAAAGCGTTGGCAATTTAAGAGTTCTTTTGTTACGATGATTCAAACTAGAGTGATTCTAATCATGATTCTGAAACTAGAATCATGATTTATGATTTTAAAACTAAAATCATGATTCATGATTTTAAGTTCAAATCATGATTATGAAACAATGATTCAAAATCAGAGATTTGAATTATATTGAATCAAGAGGATGGTGGTTTTAGAATCATAATTTGAACTAATTTAAAATATCACATCATAATTCTGAATCATGGTTTAAAATCACTATAAACAAATACTAATTTTGATCTAGGATCTAAAATCATAATTCTACGTCTATTTACCAAACACACTCTAAACCTTTCTGTCTATTTTGTCAAATTTTTTAACGAATTCTTGCACGCGACATCATGCACTTCTCTTCATTTAAAAGTTGAAAATGCCCTCACTCACACCAAATAAGAGAAGGAAAAAAAAATGCTCAAGTCCTTTATTTTAAGAAAAAAACTACTCAAACTCTTTTTTCCACTGTCGATCTATTAGAGTGCGTTTAGTTAATAAATTCATGCTATAATTTAAATTATAATTCGTGATTCGTTACAGTATTTTTTTTTCATAAAAAACACATATAAACTAAGAGGTTGTTTGGTTGGGGGATTCGTACCCCAATTCGAATTATGGTTTATGATTCGCTACAGTATTTTTTCTCATAAAAAATATATATAAATTAAAAATAATTTTAATCTTATGATTCTAATCTATGAATAAAACGTATCCTAAAAATAATTTTAAATTATGATTCTAGTTAGAGTATTACCCAGTATCTCTTCTCATCCTTTTAAAACCAAAATCATGATTCATGATTTTAAGTTCAAATCATGATTATAAAACAATGATTCAAAATCAGAGATTTGAATCATATTGAATCAAGAGGATGGTGGTTTTAGAATCATAATTTGAACTAATTTAAAACATCACATCATAATTCTGAATCATGGTTTAAAATCACTATAAACAAATACTAATTTTGATCTAGGATCTAAAATCATAATTCTACGTCTATTTACCAAACACACTCTAAACCTTTCTGTCTATTTTGTCAAATTTTTTAACGAATTCTTGCACGCGACATCATGCACTTCTCTTCATTTAAAAGTTGAAAATGCCCTCACTCACACCAAATAAGAGAAGGAAAAAAAAATGCTCAAGTCCTTTATTTTAAGAAAAAAACTACTCAAACTCTTTTTTCCACTGTCGATCTATTAGAGTGCGTTTAGTTAATAAATTCATGCTATAATTTAAATTATAATTCGTGATTCGTTACAGTATTTTTTCTTCATAAAAAACACATATAAACTAAGAGGTTGTTTGGTTGGGAGATTCGTACCCCAATTCAAATTATGGTTTATGATTCGCTACAGTATTTTTTCTCATAAAAAATATACATAAATTAAAAATAATTTTAATCTTATGATTCTAATCTATGAATAAAACGTATCCTAAAAATAATTTTAAATTATGATTCTAGTTAGAGTATTACCCAGTATCTCTTCTCATCCATCTTCTCCATTATCTCTCACTCTTTCTACCGTGATTTCAATTCCTTCTCTTAACCATCCATCCGATCAAAGAACCATAAACATGAGTCTATTTTCTGGGATTTCTTCAAATCAACCAGAAGCAAAAAAGAAGACCTTTCCTAAATCATATCTACAATAAGGACCTTGCCTTTCCTTCGATCCCCGTTCCATTCATCACAATCCAGGCCGTAGGTGAAGAAAGTTTGTTGCTTGAGCGCCGTCTGGGCGAGGAAGCTCGTGGTGGTCACCGGCCAAGCGGCGAGCGAGATGACGCGTCGGTGTCGCTGCTTCGAAATCTAACACTCTCTGCTCCGGCAACATGGATCTAATTGATATGGCTAGCGCTGCGTCGTCGACGGCGTCCAGATGAAGATGTTTATTTACTTTTTTTTTTTTTTTTGGTTTAATGGATAAACAAGATTCGTCGCTGAAGTTTGGGAAAATTTTGGGAATTAGTTTGTTGTTCGTAGAATAAACATCTTTGTTGGTTCAATGTATGAACAAGACTCTGTGCTGAAGTTTGGGAAAAAAATTGGTAAACTTGTTTCATTTTGTTCCCTTTTTTTTTTTTTTTTTTTCTTTGGTCTTTTCTCTTTTGTAATTTTTAAGTTTTTGGATTTCTTTTTTCTGGGGTGAACAACGGAACAAGTTTTTTTTTTTAATAAAAACTTTTTATTTGAATTTTAACTTTTATTAATGTATGAAATCAATATTTTACTAAAATACCCTTGAAAATCTTGTCACATCTATTGCACACGAGGTATTGTGTTAAAAAATTAACGAACTATAACGGAAAGGCTTAAATTGTCAATAATTTATGAGTTTGAGGACTATTTTATCAAAATTAAAAGAATAGAGAATAAGGCCCCGTTCATTTCGCTGATTCGAGTTTAAAATTTGAGTTTTGCTACAGTAAAAAGCTCTCAAAATTAAAAGAATAGAGATTAAGGCCCCGTTCATTTCGCTGATTCGAGTTTAGAATTCGAGTTTTGCTACAGTAAAAAGCTCTCACAAACAATCACTTCTAACTTTTTTGCTACAGTAAAAAGCTCTCACATAAAATCACATCTCAACTCAAATTAAAAATTCAAATCAACGAACTAAATAGACCCTAAATTGTTACCTAATAAAAAGTTAAGGACTAATGATGCCAATTAAAAAAAATAATAATATAAGAGAAAAATTAAAATGCAAACCATCAAGGGTAACACTAACATGTGGTCATTCTAAGCTTAAAAAGAGGTGCCAACCGATCGTTCAACTTATAGTTAACTGTTTCACTTAAACGAAAAAGACCAGTACAAAGAACTATTTCGTTACCAAGTTCTTCGCCTGTCAAATATTCAATTTGTGTTTGGCATATTAATTAGTAGTTGAAATCCATAAAGGAGTTAAAAGATCAGTTTTAGGAAAAGGCTTTCAAGAGGGTTAATTACAAAAGATAACCTCTTTTCCTCCAAGCCATCAGCATTTAAAAGGGTACACTGAAGGCGCACGCCAATATCCTAATAAGTTTGTGTTGTGCGTGTTTAGAACTAGTTTTTACGTATTTTGAGAAATAAAAAATGAAAATAAAAACGAAATGATATTTGCTTAGCAAATATTTTGAAAACAAAAATGAAAACGAAAGTAATGAGAATTGTTTTTGTGAAAAAATTAGAAAACAGTTGAAAGTTGTTTTCACTTTTCTGTTTTAATTTTTTAGTACTTATTAATAATATTATAATATATTAATTAATAAACACAATTTTATTTTTTTATTATACTCAAAATAATCTCTTAAAAAATCAACCAAACACAATTTCAGAATGATTATCAAAACGATCTCATTTTTACTTTTTATTAAAAATAAGATCATTTTAAAACTAATTCTAAATGCACCCGTTATTTCTTATTTTTATATTTAAATGATGTCGCACTCGGGTTTAGTTTACTGTTTACAGGTTCGTTACTGCATTTTTATTCAAGGATAAAACTGAACTTTTCCTGTCCTTGTGATGCAATTCGACCCAAGGTTTAAAATGATTACAATATTAAAAAGATTTGTTAATCAAACTAGCTAACACCTTAACATGCAGTATTCTTAAAATCTCTGCTTCTTAAATTGATAAAAGGGTCAATCTTTCGCTCTATAAATCAGTTTCTTAAGTACCGTTTAATTCGTGAGTTTAAATTATGGTGGTTCGAACCTCTTCGGTATGAATTGAAAAATCTGATTCCATTAAGAACAGCTTGTGCAGAAACATGTGGTCAACTTGATTTTGCATCCACTCATGAGTCATAACACAGAAGAAGGATAAAAAAAAATCGTAATTCTTAACGTATTTCTTTGTGTACACTATCAGAAATATCCAAGTCACATAATGAAAATTTTTTAAGCCCTTTATTTATTTATTTTTTTAAAGGAGCTGCAAATAATTAAGAATTTTCTTTTCGTAACACTTTCCCTTTAGTTTCATTCTTCGAATCGCCATCTGGCTCAACCATAGTCTCCAAGTCTTCAATGTCATGCTTCAATTCATCAACCTAAATTTTTAATTTTTTGAAATAGAAATCAATATTCATATCTCAAATAAGCATTTAAAGATGTACGTGCTATAGAATAATTTATGTTTCCCGGCATTTTTAATACAACAGTTTTATTTTTCTTTATTGATGCATGAGATCAGGTCATACATAGTCAATTAATAAAACGAAAATTAGTGAAAAAAAGAAAAAAATAATAAATAAAACTAATAATCAAATATATGGCTCATACAGGAAGGAATTAAAAAAAAAAAAGAAAAAGAATATGCTGAAAATACAGAAGATACCTTGTGAATAAAGTCTATGGTTAGTTGAGCATCATGGGCAGCCTTTTTGGATACGCGTTCCACAAATAAAGCAGTTTCTTTTAGCTTTCCATCCTCTGGAAGTTTCTCTGCTACGTTTGATGATACCTTCTTGGCTACTGTTGCCACTCTTTCTACTATCTCCGCTACATTTTCTACCTCTTCCACAACCATTTCTGCTTTTCCTTTAACATATATATGTATATATTTATATATATATATATTTGCATGTATACATACATACATATATATATATATAAATAAAATGTCAACAACAATTGTTACTAATTGACTGGTTATTATATAATGTAAAAAAGCTCAAGTCTTGAAGGTTCTTGTAGATAGATTTCTAGCGGGACTTGAATTTGTAATATCGGAATTTAAGGAGACGTTTAGTAAGGGGATTCATATTATGATTTGAATACATATAAATAAAAAATGATTCTAATCTCATAATTTTAATAAATAAACCAAACGTCTCCTGGACTCATCTAAGAGTGATGCCTCACCACTAGACAATACCTAGATTTGGGTCTTCCTTAAAACTTACCTTTTGGATTGGATTCACAGAGCATATCGGGAGACTCTACGTATAATATCAAGTATATCTGTTCCTAAGTTCAAAGACTACGGATAGGGACATATAATCTATGATCTATGGATACTACTAAGCAAATACGAACATATAGAGTTTTAGAAAAAAAAAAAAAAATATATATATATATATATATATATATTCCCTACATTAACTATAAAGGGATCATTCCGACATAACGTATAAAAAATATAAAAATAAAAAACATAACATGATATTTATTTAATGTAACCGGCGTTTAAAATGTGAAACCTTAAGATAACTAATTGTCTCTAATTATTATTACATTTTTTTAACATTCGTATTATGTTAAATTACTAAATTAAAGTGTAGCAATAGTCTTGAGATAGTTAAATTTCTTGGCGTTATGTTTTTCTAATGTCTGTGTATGTTGGAGTGACGATTCTACTGTTAGACTGTATAGATAATATATATATATATATTTGGGTATAGATTTAATAGTTACTCGAATATTTACACATCTAATATCATTATATTAATTATAAGATATTGATCTGACGATTGTAATAAATTTGATAGTTAACTAAAAAAGTTTATGATAATTAATAAAATTGAATTTTTATCACACTACAATATCAAATTAATTTTTATATTTTATAATAACTATATTTCATTGAAAACTCTTCTATATATATATATGTAACTCTTCTATATATATATATATATAGCTACACATTAATCAATGCTGATTAGAAATGGATATCTAGCGTATATTAATAGGAGAACATGTTCCTATATGCGCTTTAACAGTAAGAATTATGGTACCTTCTATAGTTTGAAGATTGGCCCATTTCTCGTTCGAAAAAGGCAGCACAGTGAGTATGGAGCCCAAAACCCATCTTGCCCTGTAGAAAAGGTAAAGGCATATTTAACCACATTATTGCACTTAAACAAGAGGGAATTACTAGTATATAGTCAGTACCTCAGTATCAAAATTCCCAAATTTTGAACTATTAAAACTCTCATTTTTCACAGGAAGCTTGATATCCATTTTTTTAGGCTGGCTTTAGGCTATCGGTAAAAAGAGAAAAGAGAAAAGAAATAAAATCTTTAGTATCACCATACACATAGGGACAATTTTGGTTTTCAAAAGCACATCTAATTATTTGGTCCCACAGTTTTTTATGCGCTTCTCATTCTGGTGCTGGAAATGAGATATTTAAAAGCTAAACTCACAAATATTAAAGTAATCAGAACTAATACCAGTAAGGAAAGTACTGCCGAGGAGAAGCTGGAACGTTTGCAGGGAATCGAACCTTCTCCTTTGCATGATCCTTTACCCTACACACGCATATATGGACTAGTTTTCAATAGTTATCTCGTAAAATCAATAGAAAAATACAATTATCTTTGAAAAGAGAAGATATATAATTCGAAGAAATATGAGTAATAGTCATTTAGTTACATATTGGAATTACGCCCAATTTCTGTCCACGTTTCTCTACTACTGGTGCTGAACAACTGCAAACCTTGGTACTTCAAAGAGTAGCCATACCGTCCGGCTAATACTTCAGAACAATTTCTTCTCAAACCAGTAATATCGTTTCTGCAGAACAATATTGTTCTGTTGAAAAGAAGAAAACTAAGAACACTTTGAAATTTGTAAGAACTTCGATGACACATCTTTGACGTGGTTGATGAACTGTATATGGTCACTTTTCTCAATATGCTAATTCCTCTTTAGTAAATACTTTCAAAGCTTATTTTCAAGCATGAATAATATGTGTTCTTGTTTCGTTTATATACGTGTTTATCTATTAAGGTTCAATCTAGTTTTCTAAATGGCATTTACGTGCGGGAATGCTTTGGAAGGAAAACACATAAGATGTGATGATGTAGAGACGGATATGTCAAAGCACGCTAAGGAATGATGTGGGTTTTTGCCTTTACAATATTTATTGGTCACTTTCACGCCAAGTCCAGCGTAAAGAAGATAACGTTAAACTTTGTGAATTCATATATTGTTGCTTGCAAGTTTAGATTTCATATGCAGTATCGTTTTAGGCTTGGTGGGCATGCCTTCGTGATTTATTTTCTTGTTTAATTTGCTTCGTAATTCATTCATGCATGTGGATCGTCTACCCACTTTGCAATCTTAATTGTGGCAACGGCAAGAAAACGCTGTTTATGGTTTTGTATGGGGTTTTGCGACTCAAATTTGTTTTAGAGGGCCGGGCTAAGTTGTTATTCCTTGTTGAGAGTTTTTGACGTCTTTTTGTATAGGGTTTGAAGAGCGGAGAGAAGTGGAGAGAAAATGTCTCCATTCGATAAAAACGAGAGAAAATTGAAAAGTGAGACTAAAGTAAGGTTTTAATCAAGTAGAGAAAGGTTGAGAGAGTTTGTTAAGGGTGCAATTCTGAAGTTTTTTTTTTTTTTTTTTTGAAAATCATGATATTTTAATTGAAGTTATTAATGAATTTGTTCTACCTCTTTCGTAGATATGGACAACTCTTTTGAGCCACCGAAATTTTTGATTTCCGCCCGAGTTTGTTTTTTCTACTGGTTTTGGCCTTTTTAGGTGTGCTTTTTAAGCCAAAAATTGTTACAGAAGTTGTGGAGGAAGGTGTTGGAATTATTATTTTTTTCCCAAGATGATGTATAAACGAATTAGTTTGATGAGATTAAGTGTTTTAATAGAAAGAGTAATTTTAGCACTGATAAAAAGTACAGAAAAGATGTTCTGGTACAACATGGGCTTCTAAAAGAACTCTTAAGGAAAGAAGTTAGGAAAAATGAAAGACAAAAATGGGGAAGAATTGGAAGAAATAGCGGTATGCACTACTATTTAAATTTGAGTTTTGATCTAAAATAGTGTTATTGAATAAAATATCTCTTTATGAGTTATGGAATAAATTAGAGAAAAGTTGATGTTAAAATCCCTAATAAATAGATAGAGCATCCATTTAGTTGTTAAGTATAGAAATCAATATTGATGAGGAAGAGAACTCTATAATTTTCATATGACACTTTAGTAACTATAATCTTAATTGAAAAGAATATGTTGACGGTAAATGAGGCGTCAACTGCTCTATTCAAGACTACAAATTATACGAAAGAGTCTAGTTGTTACTCTCGTATTAAACAAGCTCTTATGGCAAACTCATATTTCAATAGGATAGGAGTAGTTCACAAAGAAGATACATACAATGACAAAAGAGATGACCATTCCTAATAATGTTTATTAGTAGAGTTGGAGTGTTATTACTATTATAAGAAGGGATATGTAAGGACAAATTATGAATAACTAAAAGAACTCCTTGAAAAAAAAAAAAAGAGAAAAATAAGAAATCCAAGAGGCTTTTTTAATTAGTACCTACAATTTTAGTTACTACAATTTTAGTAACTACAATTTAGTTAGAAAGAATATATTGATTGTATATGAGATGTCAACTGCTCTATTAAAGACTACAACTATCAAGAAGCCTAGTTGTTACTCTCAAATTAAATAAGCTCCTATAGCAAAGTTAGATTTGAATAAGAGTAAGAGTAATTCACAAGAAAGATATATACAACGATAAAGAGATGATCATTTCCAATTATGTTTATAAATAGAATTTGAGTGTTATTACTATTATAAAAAAGGGCACATAAGGACAAAATTGTGAATAACTAAAAACAAAAAAAAAAAAAAAAACTCCTTGAGAATAAGAGAAAAACATGAAATGCGCCAAGAGGCTTTTTTTAGGCTACTGAAAACCCACGAGACTTGAGGTACTACAATTGTTGTTGGTAGCAAATTTGACATTGGGAAGTGATGTTTTGTTAAGGTTAGATTTCGTTCCTCATTTCTCATTTTACACGTGTCCTCATACGTCTCGGAGAATGAGACTAAATCATGAAATCAGCCGCCAGAAACAATCCACTACCCATCAGCAGGTACGGCCACTCGAACAACCATTTGAGCCACAGAGATGCCACATCAACATTCCGAGATTATGGAATAATTCCATAATTAAATCAGCACCAAACTGTGGCATCTTACCCAAAAAAGCAAAAAGAAAAGTTAATTACACCAAGACTTGCTCCCTAAGCCACCTCCCTACAAGAAAAGAATCTCCAATTAAGAGTCAAAGAGGAAACTTGCTCTAAATCACTTTTTCAGTAATCAAGACCTATTTCTACAGCCCTTGCACGACCACAAAGGGGCTATACGCATACATATATATGTCATCTCCTTTCTCACATTTTTCTAGAGGTTTTCCAACAAATTTCTAGATATTATGTTGTATTTTCCGCATATTCTCCCGTCATTTACAGAGATATTCATTGTATTCATCTTCTATAATCATAGTGGAACCATCTGAAGACCCTACAGTGGACATACCTTGGATTATCAGGAAAACCACTATAAATCTTAGAGATGCAAGAACGGGCCAACCCGTTCTCCTTAGGCCCACGCGGGTCGTAAGCCAGGCCAGCCCAACCCACAAATTTGTGGGCCTGGCCAGTATAAGAATTACCTTAGCTCAGCTCGCACCACAGGCCAACTTTACATGGGCCAGGCTAAGCCGTGCCGTGGGCAGGATGGGTCGTGCCGTGGGCAGGATGGGTCGTGCCATGGGCCTTGAATAGGCTGGCCCATTCAAGGCCCTTCATGAGTTTAGATGAGCCAGCCCATCTAAGCATGTAATTTTTAATTTTTAATTTTTAATTTTTAATTTTTAATTTTTGAATTTTTAAACAAGTTAACAAATATAAAAGTTTAAATAGTCAATGGAAATATGAAAATGAATATTTTATTTACGATTGCCTCATTAAAAATCTTTCCAAGGAAAACTCAATTGGACAAAACCTTGGTAAAAAAAAAAGAGTACAATCAGGATAATTATACATAAGATGTTTATAAAATTACTAAAAAAAAGAAAAAAAAACACAAAAAAACATGAGCCTAGACGAGCCCGGCTGGGCCGACCCATTATGGTCCTACACAGGCCGGCCCAGCTCAGTCCATGATTTTTCATGGGCCACCGGCCTATATATGTTGATCCAGCCCAGCCCACCAATATTTATAAACTGGGTCGTGCCTTAAACAATAACGGGTCGTGTCGGCTCGGCCCGTCACTGTGTCAGAATGGACTTGGGCCGGCCCATTGTTGCTTGTAGTACATGTTTATTTTGTTATTATGACGAAAATGCTTTGGAATCTCGACTCTTGAATTTTGAATATTTATTTTATTTGTATCCATATAAGAAGTGATTTAATTTTTATAAGTTATGTAATCTAACAGATTCTTATCAGTAATTTGCTAGATGCCACCAGAATTAAAAGTGACAAACTGACAATCAGTCCCATTAGCGTTGCTCATCAAAGCGAAATCTACTAGATTAACATGAAGAAATTGAATTACCATATGAAATTCACAAACACAAAATCTATAATATGAAATGTCAGAAACCTCCCCCTCATCACATGACTCGCACCTTGTCGTAGACTCATCGTGCGGCTCAGATCTCATCCGCAGTCTCATGCATAGATCTAGGTCGGAACATGCTAACATCATGCAGATTCTTTACCCTTCTTTCTTCGCCCAAATTTGCAAAATGAGGCACACTTGCAAATGAATGATACACGTACAGAAAATAACAAAATATGTTCTTCCGATTGTGATTAGCATTAATTAACTTGTGATTGTGATTAGCATTAATAACAAAATATGTTCTTCCCTGCATAATTAATTAACTTGTGATTAGCATCGAAATTAAATATGTTCTTCGGATTGTTGAGGCTGGCATTGGTAGATCGGCAAGGGTCATGTCCATTTCATGTCACTCACCGATTCATCTAACTGATCAGGGTGGAATCTTCAGTGCCCTATAGGCATAAGCTCTGACTAGAGAAAGGGAAAGAGTAAGTCAAGGTTCATATTAAAGAAAAGTAATTATTGTTTCACAACTCAAGTTAAGAACTTGAGTTGTATATATAAACGATAAACATTATAGTAAAAAAGTTGAATTTGAATTTTACAGAAGAAAATACTATATCAATAGAACTTGAATTGTGACTTGAGTTGTAAAAACAACAAGACCTAAAAATGAAGTTAAATTGGTCATTTTTATTAGGTTGTCGAAATAGACAAATTAAATCAATTGATCAATGAGATGGCTGAATTCTTAATACTATATAAGGCGTGAAACAAATTATAACTATATCCAATTAATAATGGCCATAAACAACCAATGTATGTTGAGCATTGTCACTAACTCGGACAAACATAACGAACAAAAAGACTATGACCAACGATACAAATTAGCAGAAAGTTGACATACTAACCCATTGTTAAAGGCTCGAATTACAATTTAATATTTTTACTATAGTGTTTCTATGATCACATAAATTTTGAATTTCAGTTTTTTTTTTTTTGAAAGTGGAGTGGCTACTCTAATACTTTACGGGTATGGTTGTTCATGGGTTGGGTTGGTGCGGGGTATGACTTTTCTTCCCCCACCCCAAAGGGTGCTGGTTGCACATATTTAACCCTAACGATATTAGAAAAATTTCATAACCCAATGATGATTGAGTTAGGTTGGGACGGTGCGAGGTGAGTTGGGTGATCGGTTTTAAAATTTAACGAATTAAAGACTCAAAGTTCAATCAAACATCAAACATGAAGCAAAATAGTCCATCCAACATCAAACATAAAGCAAACATAAATTAGTCTACACTCATAAATTAGTCTTAACATAAAGTAAACATAGATGCTTAATTTAAACAGAAGAAACTAGAAAGTAAAAATGAGTTACTTGTCTAGGGTTAGATATTAGAGAAAACAAGTTAGAGTGCGGGTTAGATTGAGATGTGCGAGCCATTATAAGTCTAACTCACATTCTGTTTCAAAACTTCATGCCAAACATTAAATGAGCCGAAAAAAAAAATTAACACTAAACATTACATTTTTCAAGTTGAATTAGAATGAAATTGGTTGGATTTACGGATTTTACAGGTTCAAGAACAGCCCTATTTACGGGCAACAGCTATTAATATTTATTTTTTCATAAATTAGTGTGTTACCAGATAGAAAATAGCCTTATCTTTTCTCATGATAAACCTCTGTCATAAATGAACGTTTAGAAAGTGAAATTTCTAATGGTGAAAGTCAGACGCTGTCGTTAAAAATGTTGTCTTGATTTATGTCCAGTCATCTTTTTTTATTTAAAAAAAAACATGTCATCTGTCATAATGACAGTGTCATGGACGGGGCAGAGACTGGAGCTAAGCTTAGCGGAGATGTGGTCAGGAAAGCTTTAAGAGACGTTTAATTTATGAATTAAAATCACGTGATTAAAATTATTTTTAATTTATATATATTTTTTATGAGAAAAAATATTATAATAAATTATGAATTATAATTTAAATTATGATTTAAATTTTCCAACTAAACATTCATTTTAATCTTGCATATTAGAAAGGTTGTCCTTCGGCAACTACTATGCACTATTAGGAAGGGAAAAAAATGCATCAATTACTTGTTACCTTCTACTAAAACCAATGACTTGTTACCTTTTTGAACATCGGATACAGATGGAGATTTTTTTTATTTTATTTTGCAGATTCAATGGTAGTTCAAAATTTTTTATTACATTATTTTTCTCATAAAAATTTAATTTCTATTCAAACAAATATATAAACGAAACAGACACTAGTCTTGAATCATTTGAATTTTCAAAAAAAAAAAAAAACAAAAAGAATTAAAACAGATGTTAGCCTTAATTCCTCCATTTAAGTCATTTAAAACTAGTTAAATAACGTGGCGTTTTTTCATTGAATGAATAGGGCGTGTCAGCATTTTTTTCAACAGGGAATCCAAATTCCTAAAAATGAGAGACAAGTAAATTTATTTTTCTGAAATATTGAGAGGTAAGGATTAAAGTAAAATTGAGAAAAGTGAAGTAGAGCACATTGAAAAAGAAGAAGTAATTCAGGTTGAGAAAGAACTTTTCCTTCGAAATCAAATTCCTCAAAAGAATTTTTTTTTTTTTTAAGAGATGTATTTCTCTGCCTAAACTATCCTCACCACCTTTCTCTAAGACCTCAGTCTCTAATTATGTGCATAAGGGTATGCTTATGATCACACCTATCTTCATTAAAATTTTTAATTACTTAGTGCAATCCTCAATGAACTTTTAATCCTCTCTGTTTTTCTTTTCGTTTTTTTTTTCATAATCCTATCTTCTTTTGTTTCTTATTCCAGTGGAACTTGACTCTAATTACATGGCAATAAACGCATCACTACTAATTAAAAATTTGGTAAACCATTCTTCTTCAGAAAAAAAAAATATATATATATGGTAAACCATTCCCATCATTAGCCGCCAGTACAGTTCGCATGAAGCGACAAGGCAACAAACGACGAAGAATTAGTCAAATCACAGCCTTAACATCCTTCTCACTTCTAAACAACATTCAAAGATCACCTCCCCTAATCAAAAGCCTCAAGACCAAACAATCACACAAAAAACAGCAAGCCAATGATCTTCTTCCCTCGTTTTCCACGTCTCTCTCTCTCTCTCTCTCTCTCTCTCTTCGACAACACAGGTAAGAACTCTCTCTCTCTCTCTCTCTCCTTTCATTCCAATGTTTTCTAAATATTCCGAGTAACATATAGATATAGATATCATATACATATGGATTTGAACCATAGAAATCTGATTGAAGACTCAACCTTGTGTGAATCACTTTGTGAAAAAAATGTTCCAATCAATTGCCCAAAATCATGTTCAGTTTTATGTCCAGAAACATGTGTATCCTATGATCCATATTGCATCTCTCCACCAACTTCTGTAATCTCTTATTCACACAATCACCACAAATTCTCAACTTTCTTGACCGTCACAATTGTACTTCTCGCCGCCAGTTTCCTTGTGATTTGTGGCTATGTCTTCTACACAAAGTATTACAACAATTCGAGACGGCGAAACTCATCACGTCAATCTGATCATCGAAACCGTGATGATCACGAGTTTCTTGATGAGGAACATGGCCCTACGTTGGACCACCCGATATGGTATATTCGCACCGCCGGTCTTCAGCCGTCGATAATCAATTCGATCGCCGTTTTGAAGTACAAGAAAGGAGAAGGGCTTGTCGAAGGCACGGATTGCTCTGTTTGCTTGAGTGAGTTTCAAGAAGATGAGAGTCTTAGGCTTCTGCCAAAGTGTAGTCATGCTTTTCATATTCCTTGTATTGATACTTGGCTTAGATCGCACACCAATTGTCCAATGTGTCGTGCTCCGATTGTGATCAACTCGGTGATCAGGACTTCTTTGCCGGAGCCGAGTAGTGTCGATTCAGGTTCGGAGGAGGAAATCCGGCCGGGGAATTCGGAGAATGATGGCGAAAATGACGCAGAAATGGGGAGAGATGAAGAAGGAAAGAGAGGAGAAAGTTCTGGTGATATTGAAGTTGTGTTGGATAGGATGTCACAGCCGAGTCGAAGATCGTTTTCATTGGACTGTTCATCGGGCTGGAAGATTAGCTCCGCTATGTCGAAGGAATGCGATGGGAGTATGGACAAGAAAATGGAAACAGATAACAAGTTGAGGTCTGCAAATGGTGAGAAGAAAGTGGGTGGGAATCAAAAGCTGCAGAGAATGACAAGTAGTTCTTCTAATGAAAGGTCCCTACAAAGTGGACCTGTTTCTATGAAGAGGTCGGTTTCTTGGAGTGGGAAATTCGTTTTGTGCAGGCAAATAAAGAGCAGTGACTCAATTCTTCCTCTGAGAAGCATCTAAAGTGCGGCTAAGATGCAAAAGAGTATCGCAGACATCATCTGATATAAAAAACATGCACTACCCGTAAGCGTCCTATTGCAATGGCTGCCAAGATGTTCGAAAACCCGAATCACTCGACAAATTCTCGAAAACTCGAGACGTTACTGAAATCAGGTTATACATACAAAAAAACTGTAATAATGTTTGTTGTTTTATGTAAGTGAAGGTAGTAGTACATTAGGAAAATTAGGCTGGCCCAAAATGGGGTTCAGCTTATAGAAAGTGAGAGTAATGCTGAGTATGCCATGAACTTGTTCTCTGAAGAGAGTCAAGCAATTGTAAGTTAAACCTTTTCTTCTGTGGAACTAAGGGATGGTATTTTTGCTGCTTCATATATATTATCTGGTAAAAGAGAAATGGTAGATAGAATGCTTAAATTCTCTGAATTTTGCTTCTAATCTTTAAGCTGTGAAATATCTTTCCTATGACAAAGCTATGTTTTGCTTGTTGCCATTGAGTGTCCCTCTAAATTTCTGTAATACCCTTTTTTTTTTTTTCCAAGTTCATCCTTCGGTGAAATTTGTGATGATTATTGACATATACAGAAGGAAAATGCCAGAAAACCACCCCTTTCATACATGTCTTACCCAACTATTCATGTTTCATACTTGTCTTACCCAACTATTCATGTTTCATACTTGTCTTACCCAACTATTTATATTTCATACTTGTCGTACCCAACTATTTATGTTTCATACTTGTCTTCGTTCTGTTTGATCGAACTTGGCAGTACTGTGGGGAGCTAGTAAATTCACAAGCTATAAAAGCAGCGTGAGGAAGCAATGGAACTGTTTATGATTATACTTTTTTACTTTATTAAATTAGATGTACACATTATTTTTCACTTCAACGTGAGAACTGTTCTAAAATAACTACTTTTAGGGATTTAAAAATTTTATAGAATGTGATGCCATGTTATCATACTATATATTTTAATACTAAATATACCTTTAAGATATCATACAATATTCACCATAATATTGACTAGTGCCCGTCAATATGGGAAATAGTAAAAAATAGACCAATATGAAAAGTTTAAGAAAGTATATAGGCCAATTTTTAGTTATAGAAATTAATAGGCCATAACTTGTCAAGTTATGGTTCATAATTAGATAAGTTATGGACAAACTTGTCAAGTTATGGTTCATAGCCAGACAAGTTATGAATAATAACTTGTCAAGTTATGATTCATAACCAGACAAGTTATGGACGAAAACAGTAATTTGGCCTATTTATTAACTTATGTAAACTATTGGCCTATTAATTTTAATTAATCTCAAGTCTTGGCATATTTTCCTCTTTCTCCATATAGATCGCGGCCGCTAACCAATGTTATCTTGGTTGT